ATTAGGTATAGTTGCTACTTTGTCGAAACTTTATTATTTTAATCAAAATTAAATTACCGCCCACCCGCTTCAGTCCCACACGTGTAAGGAGAAACTATGAATTTAATTGGAGTGGTCTTAACAGCATAGCCTTTTGGTATAGGATATTATTCCCCTCCAGATTTACTTTATAATTCAAAATATATGAATTTAATTAATAATCAATGCTTTCCACTATACAGTAGTAGCTAATAGTATATTAATTATTGTTATGCATGTATTTGTACTTGTCATTAATTCAACTACCGTATAGCTAGAAATTTTTGTGGCCCAAAATTTTTGCGAATTTTGCGAATTTGAAAAAATTTGCAAAAAAATTAAACCCTTTAAAAAAGTAAATCAAAAGGTGTGGCTTACCATGCCTTTTCTCAGTGTAATTATAGTGAAGCACATGGTGTTTTCCTGGCACTGTTCCAGTATTTTAAGCAGAGTCAAAGACTAAGAGTAATCCTATCTTGCCTAATATCCTGATAGAGCTTTGTGTCATCATCAGCTATAGTTATGGTAAGTAGTGAAGAGCAGCCATTGATCAGTAGTGTAGTCAAATGAATTCGCAGAAATAAAATCCGCAAAAGCCATTTTTTGGCAATTCGCAGAAATTTTGGGCTACAGAAATTTCTAGCTATACGGTATTTTGTTACTGTATAGGATATACTAGTAATAGTGATTGGTCTACCAGTATAATACCTCTGGACCAGTATCAAGAGAAACTACAAGAAAGGAGAAGAGAATGGGAAGCATCTCAACTTGTTCAACCTGAGGATAGAAGAGAAATAGACCGTCTGACACTTGTACTACAAGAAAGGGAAAGTGAACTACAGGAGGAGAGAAGAGAAAAGGAACAAGTTAGGAACAGACTACAGCAACAACTTCAACAAGCACAGCAACAAGGACAAGAAAGAGAGAGGCAGGCCAGGGAACAAGAGCACAATCTTCAACGACAGCTTCAAGAAAGAGAGAGGGAAATTCAAGAGGGTGGGGAAAGAGAACAGGGTCTTCAACGACAGTTTCAACAAGCTCAGCAGCAGCTTCAGGAAAGTCAAGAAAGAGAGAGAGGCCTAGAGCAGCAACTAAGAGAGAGAGATAGACAAGAGAGAGAGTCTTCCTGGGTAGTTAGCAGAAATGATATTAGAATGACAGAAAGGATTCTAGGCAGAGGAGGATGGGGAGAGGTCAGAGTAGCTCGTTTCCATGGACTGGAAGTTGCTGCAAAGGTACTTCATGAGACCATCATATCAGAATATAATGTCTCACTTTTCTCTCGTGAAATGAATATTGCTTCTAAAATACGTCATCCTAACCTCCTTCAGTTCATAGGAGCCACTACAGAGGGTAATCCAATCATCCTGACAGAGCTAATGCCAACCAGCCTA